GACCCTAAGTGGGGTCTACATTCTGTAGAACCTGAATTCCTCAAGGAAAGGATGCTGTGGAATGCATGAAGTTCAGTAATGTCCCAAAGCAAGTTCTGGTTCCTCAGCCCATACATGCCAGCAGACAACACAGGACACTGGTTCTCAGCTGGGGCAACGTGGCTGTGTCCACACATGGACCGTTATAATAGTGTCTGGAGACATTTTTAGTTGTCACGACTGTGGAGGGGGTTCTACTGGCATCTAGTGGACAGAAGCCAGGGATGCTTGTCAACATCCTGCAATGCCCAGGATGGTGCTCCCTGCCCCCCACCCCCACACACACAGCAGAGAATCACTATCTAACCCTGTCAATAATGTTAAAGTTGAAAAAAAAAAAAAACCAAAATCTTGTCTAGGATGCAATGCTGGTCACCATTTCCAAAAACTGAAAAATGTGCCATGAACCCCTGGAAAATGTGTTATACCCTGAGATAAACTCATTTTTTACAGCAACAAAGCCATGTTTTATTAGACAGTGACTGTGTGTGTGTGTGTGTGTGTGTGTATAGTAACATTTCCATGTACCCTCTGATATACAATATCAAATATTTCACATATCAGAATATACTAAGAAAAGTAGGTTTTGCCATTTCTCAAATCATATCCCTCATCTCTTTTCAGTTCTGCATTTCCCTCAAGAGTAAGTTCTATTGTGGAGGGCACCTGTTGGGATGAACGCTGGGTGTTGTATGGAAACCAATTTGACAATAAATTTCATATTAAAAAATAAAATAATTTTTTAAAAAAGAGTAAGTTCTGACTTCTGTCGCTATGTTACTACAGACAAATAAGCAAATTCACCATCTGTCTATCACTGGAATATAATGTGTTTGTCATGTTCATTTTGTCCCAGGATGAAGTGACCAAGTAACCCTAGCATCTCCCCTGGAGGGTCCAAAACATGCTTCAGAGATGGATATTTTTTGGAGGTTTAGCATTTAGATTTTGCTTTGTGCTTTCTTAGGTGCAGTGTCTTTGGCAAAGTCACTTCTCTTAAAGACTCATTTTCACTATTTTTAAAATCTTCAGTGGTGTCTTCCAAAAGATGGGAGAGGCCCAGGACACTTGGTGTATTGAAAGGCAAGAGTGATGTATTACAGTTAAAATGAAGTGTACATGGTAGAGAATTTGATTTGGAATATTTGGCTTCCCATCCTTGAAGAATTAGTGATGCCAGGAGTCTACAGCTAACTACAGCTAGTCTACATCTAACTATCTATATACCCCACAATCTGTATCTAGATATATAGATAGATGGAGATATGGATATACAGATAAGTATAGGCATAGGAGTTTCTTTCTTTACAGATGATGAATAGCTCCTGAAAAGATTCCCCTACATGCTGGCATTGAGAAAATCCCAGTGCAAGAGTATACTCTCTTGCTAGTCAAGCCCAAGTGGATATACTCAGTCCCTGAATTCCAGAGAAGGTACATGGGTCCATAACAGGCAAGGCCACATGGCTGTTGACTAATGGTCCAATGGAGAAGAACCTCTGTCTCTATGGCACCATCTTACATCCTGCCCCAGAGCCTTCCACTTGGTTGTGGGATCTGGTTTGAATAAGGATTTGAGCCCATTAGACATTGGTCAAGGAAAACACTCACTTCTCATGGGAAACTTAAACAGGACGTTTGGTCTCCTTCAGACCCCACCCGAGAGCTATCCAGAGCTAAGTTCTTTAGGAAGGAACCATTACTTGTGAGGCAATAGATGTAGAAATTCTCTGACAAGGAACTCTTACCTCATACTTCCTACTGATTTATCTTACTGTTTTATAAGGATCTGTCATTCTGCTAATGTGCCCCAACAAGAGACTAACTGGGCTGAGGTTCTGACAGAATCATGGCCCCCAGAGACACCATCCATCTCTGTCTCGGTGAGTCCTGTAATGCAAGTGGGTCAGGGGGGGAAGATGTCCCAAAACTGTCCATGTCCTCTTACTATGAGGACTCAGTGACTTTAATGGCGGCCAAGGAGATTCTGGCCTCCTTAGTAGAGAGTTGGGCCTTGTTCAGATGTCTGTAACTGTGTCTGCTCAAGTCCAAGTGGCTTGTGGGGCCTGTTCAACCCACATCATGCTGTCTAGAGATCCATGGTGGGTCCAGAGTTCCTATAGATGAGAGCCTTGTGGCCTGGAATCTAGGAGGTAAAACTAAAAGAGGAACCTGAAGACTATCCTTTCTGTGGGGGGAAAAAATTGACACCCTGCATGTCATTAGTCAGCATGAATTGGAACAAGGACTACTGTTGAAACTGGAAAACTGATCTTTTGTGAATCTTTCTCTTCCAGTGCTCTGTCTGAGCCAGAAGCTTTGGGCACAGGAAGGTAAGTGTTCCCCTAAATCTTTCCCAGACACCTTCTACTTTGGAACAGAAGGGTTGAAAAGACAGTCAAAAGCCCAAATGAATTCCAATTTTATTCCCCATTTAAGCCATCTCTGCTGTGCCCCCCTCTCCAGACCCCTCAAAAGCATCATACTCAGCCCTGGGTTTAGTGATTGCTTCCATGAGGCTGTCTGTTCCATATCTAAGACATGTATTTCACTGAATGTTCACAACTGCAAGGGTGAGGAAGTTGGGAGCCATCAGTGATTGCCCAGTATCTGTCCCTATGTCAGACCTACTTGTTTTTACAACCTGATTCTCTCCACTCTCTCCACTTTGCTTCACTCAGCAAGATGTTGCCTTAGTCCTTTCCTCCTGTGCAGTCTGTGTACTAGTATGAAGTAGCTCTCCATTACAACTGTATATTCAGTCACCTCTGTTACTGCCTTGGATGGAATCCCATGTCTATCCATGTCTTTTCTCTTCCAGTTCCTTCTAAAGACTGTAGTCTGAATTACTTGTGTGTTTAAAACACAAGTATGTTTATCACCTTCATAGAACCCATCAGGGGTCTAACTTCAGATAAACCTACTGACGTGGCCATGGCCGTGGCTCCCTAGCTGTGCTGGGCTGCTTCTGCTCCCCCAAGCCCATTTTCCATTCTCCCACCGAGTCTCTGCTCCTCAGTCACTCTGACCTTGTTTTCATGTGTCCCATACTTATTTGTACTTTATTATCCAGGACCTTCTCCTGTTGTTCCTGTGATCCACAATGCTCCTAACCTGTCTGTCCACATCGCCTAGCCTACTCATCCTCATGTATCAGCTGAACCCTCACATCTGTTATCAGATTTCCAAGATCTGTGTCTCTGTATTGCAGACTGTGTGTCATGACCTGTGATTATATACTTGCCTATTTTTTTAATGTTTATTTTTGAGAGAGAAACAGAGCACAATGGGAGAGGAGCAGAGAGACAGGGAGACACAGAATCCGAAGCCTCCAGGCTCTGGGCTGTCAGCACAGAGCCCGACGCAGGGCTTGAACTCACAGACTGCGAGATCGTGACCTGAGCTGAAGTCGGACGCTCAACCAACTGAACCACCCAGGTGCCCCTACACTTGTCTATTTTTAAAAGTAGTACCTGACACTTCCCATATTATCATTCCCCTAAAGGTCTTAACCAGGTTGTTTAGGTCAGGGTTTCCCAACCTCAGTCCTATCGACAGTTGGGAGCAGGTGTTGTTTGGAGGGAAGTCCTGTGCATTGTAAGATCCCTGGCCTTTACCCAGAAGATGCCAACAGTGCCTTCTGCCCCCATGTGACAACCAAAAATGTCCCTAGGCATTACCGAATTGTCCCCTGGGAGGCAAAATTGCCTCCTGTTGCGAACCACTGGTTTAGGTCATTATATTAAATAAACATTGTATCTGCATTAATGGAGATATCCATGATCTCTTCATCTGTTTTGGAAGAACAAAAGCATGGAGGTATTGGTGAGTGAATACTATTAAATAAAAGGAAGTCCTGCAATTTTTGGTAAATACAGTCAACACCTTCCACAGCCACCTGTAGCAAGTTGGTCTTCCTTCACAGCAATCCTCATGAGAATGGCAAATTCCCTTTCTACCCCCCCGCCCCTCCTCACAGAGCTGCAGTTGAGCACACCACTATCAGGTCTAAAAGAGATGATACATCTTGATAAAGGAACCAGCAGGCTTGGAGTTGTTCATGAGGGTTGCCATGGCAACGGAACACCAAACAGACTTTGTGGCAGACTAGTGGTTGCTAAGGGCTGTGGGAAGGTAGAGTGGGGAGTGACCTCTTGGTGTATACAGAGTCTCCTTCGGGTTGATAAAAATGCAAGAAGATAGAGGTGATGATTGGACAACACTGTGAATGCGCCAAATGCCACCGAATCATACACTTTAAAAATGGTTAATTGTATGTTATGTGAACTTCACCTCAAAAAGAAAATGAACATATGAAAAGGAAGGGGTTCAGTTCCTCAAAAGGCTAAACATAGAATTATCATGTGATCTAGCAATTCCACTCCTACATATACAACCAAAGGAATTGAAAACAGGAACTTGAACAGAGATTTGTACACCAATGATCACAGCAGCATTATTCACAATAGCAAAAGATAGAAACAATCCAAATATTCATTGGCATGAGTGGATAATCAAAATGTGGTCTACACATACAAGGGAATGTGACTTAGCCATCAAAAAGAAGGGTATTCTGACACGTAGTACACATGCATGAACCTCGAAGATATTATGATAAGTGCAATACACCAGACATGGGAAAACAAATACTGTATTTGATACAGGGTACCTTAAATGGGCAAATTCATAGACAGGAAGTAGATCAGATGTGGAAAGAGGAATGGGGAGTTATTGCCTAATAGTTACAGAGTTTCTGTTTGGAGTCATGAAAAAATTCTGAAAATAGAGGTCATGGTTGTGCAATATGATGAATGTAATTAATTCCATTGAACTGTACACTTAAAAAATGGTCGAGGGGCACCTGGGTGGCCCCGTGCATTGAGCAGCTGACTCGATTTCAGCTCAGGTCATGATCCCAGGGTCATGGGATTGAGCCCCGGGTTGGGCTCCATGATGAGCATGAAGCCTCCTTGGGATTCTCTTTCTCTCTCCTTCTGCCCCTCTGCCCCACTCGTGCTCTCACTTTCTCTAAAATAAAAAAAATTAATGGTTGAAATGGTGAATTTTATGTTATATATATTTTGCTACAATTGAAATATACCAAAAAAAAGGAAAAGATTTTAAAAAGGAAGGAATCCTGGGTCTTTCAGACCTTAACTTATTTGCATTTCCCCCACAGAGAAGAAAAGCACTATAGTTTCTCCATGGCCGGCACCTGACTCTGGGCTCTATTTTCTTCCAGGGTATTTTCCCATTCCTATTATATCTGCCACACCTGGTTCTGTGATTCCCTGGAATGAGTCTGTGAAGATCCTGTGTTGGGGGACTCCTGAGTCTTACTTGTACCAACTGGAAATCCTGAGAAACTCCACATTTGAGGTGGTAGAGAAGAAATTGGGATTTCAGGAGAAGGCTGAATTCCTCATTAGCCACATGAATACTAACACTGCAGGGCGTTATCAGTGCCAATATAGGAAAGAGTACAAATTATCAGAGCACAGCAAAATCCTGGAGCTGGTGGTGACAGGTGAGGACACATCCAGCGTCTCCAGTCCTTGGGTGTTGTTTCTTTCTTATTCTTTCAAAGGCTTTACTTTTAGAACAGTTTGGGTTTACAGAAAAGTTGAGAAGATAAGACAAAGGCATTTCCATAGACCTGTCACCCACTCTCCCCTGCTGTTAACATCTTCCATTAGTACGGACTTTTCTTCCTATTAACGAACCAATATGGATAACTTAGCATGCACTGAAGTCCTCAGTTTATTTAGATTTCCTTAGCTTTTATCCAGAGTCCTTCATCTGTCCCAGGATCCTATCCCACGCTGCATAGAGTTATCATGTCTGCTTAGGTTCCCCTTGGATGTGGAAGTTTTAAGGAGTGCCGGTCAGGTATTTTGTAGAATGTCCCAATATTGGAAGTTGTCTGGAAGTTGCTGGGGTCATTGGATCACTGTGAGGGAGACCACAGAAGCACAGTGACATTCTCACCACATCACACTGAGGGTACATACCATGCAAATGAATATGGCTGTTGATGCTGAGATTGAGCACCTGGCTGAGGTGGCATAGGCAGGTTTCTCTCCCAACCCTTTCCATATGGAAGGAAATCACTATATGCAGCCTGTACCTGAGGCAGGTGAGATAGTTATGCTCCCTGCATGAACCCAGCCCTTGGTTCTAAGCCCTCTCTCTCTTCAAGGTGGCTGGACCCTGTGCTTCTAGAAGCATCTTTTTTCTAGAAGAGTCCACCCTGAATTTCTACCTGCTGACATTCTTTTTACATAATGTCGACTCTCTCTGTCCCTGACATATCTCCTCAAACTCTTTGGATACTATCCGCCCTTTTCCTTAACATGTGGCTTGTGATATTGTGATTTATAGTAAGAACTATATATATGGTCTTCATTCCTGTTCCCGGCACAGAGCTCCTAAATCCCTTGGAATTTCCTGAGTTATATGAATGACAAAGATGTTTTGCTATTCCTAACAACCCCCTTTTGACCACTGCTGAGGTTATGTCAAAGAGATAACTTTTGGACTACCTCCAAGGAGAGGAGAGGGGCTGGAGATTGAATCAATCACCAATGGCCAAAGGTTCAATCAATCATGCCTATGTAATGAAGCCTCCATAAGAACCCAAAAGGAGAGAATCCAGGTTGGTAAGCACAAGGAAGTACTGGTAGAGCAGGGCACAAGGATATGGCACCTGGGCCTTATTTATCTCTACCATTTGGCTGTCCCTGATTTCATCCTTTAGAATAAACCAGTGATCTAGTGGGTAAACTGATTTCCTGAGTCCTATAAGCCATTCTAGCAAATTAAGCGAACCCAAGGAAGGAGTTCTGGGAACTTCTGATTTATAGCCATTCCGTCAGAAGCACAGGTGACAGCAAGGGCTTGTGATTGGCATCTGAAGTGGGGGTGGTCTCATAGGACTGAGCTCCTAACCTATGGGATCTGACGTTATCTCCAGGGAGATAATGTCAGAATTAAGTTGAATTATGGGATGCCCAGCGGGTGTCTCAGAATTTCTTGGTGGTGTGGGGGAAAGCCCCACAGGTTGTAATTGGGAACAGAATCATGTGGGTCTTGTGGCTTTAGAAACAAGATCTCTATCTCTTGAAAATGGTATCTCACCCAAGTCTCACAGGCTGCTTGTTTGCTCAGCCCCGTCTGCAATAATTTGGGACAGAGTATATGTCCTGGGGCAGGAAAATGGGAAGTTCCCAGCTCCCATTCCTTTGAATCAAGGAATATCAGCATCTTGCCTTCCCTTAGGATGGACCCAACATGAGTGTTGAGGATAAAGGGAAAAGGATGAAAAATCTTGCTAATAGCTCACTCTCTTTTCTTTAAGGCTTGTACGACAAACCCTCCCTCTCAGCAGTGCAGGGCATGGTGGTGATGCTGGGCGAGAATATTTCCCTGCAGTGCAGCTCAACAGACATCCCATTTGATAGATTTTCACTGACCAAAGAAGGAGGAGCCACCCTGTCACAGCACCAAAGTGGGGTACACCAAGGCAACTTTATTCTAGGCCCTGTGAACCACAACTTCTCAGGGAACTACAGGTGCTATGGTTGGTACAGTGGCAGCCCTTATGTGTGGTCAGCCCCCAGTGATGCCCTGGGGCTTGTGGTCACAGGTAGGTGCACCCCAGTCCAGCCCTGAATCCTCCTCTTGGGGCCTTGGCATTAGGCAGGAATATGGAAGGTACACTGAGAAAAAACAGTGGGGTAGTAGAGGGCCATTAAGCAGAGGACTGTGAAGACAAAAAAAGACTTTCATCCACACCCCATTCAACATTCACATCCTCTCCGAGAGTTCTGTAGACAGTGCCCTTTAAAAACGTGGTCTGGGGGCACTTGGGTGGCTCAGTCAGTTGAGTGTCTGACTTCGGCTCAGGTCATGATCTCACAGTTCATGAGTTTGAGCTCCGAGTCTGGCTCTGTGCTGACATCTCAGAGCCTGGAGCCTGCTAAGGATTCTGTGTCTCCCTCTCTCTCTTTCTGCCCCTCTCCCGCTCATGCCCTCTCTCTCTCTCTCTCTCTCAAAAATAAATAAACATTAAAGAACAATTAAAAAAAAAAAACATGTGGTCTGTTGAGAATGGAGAGTCCAACGTTTAGAATCATGTTAAGGGGTGTGGTTGACACATAGATCCCAGACACCACCTTAGACTGACCCACTTCTCTTTTTTCATATGCTTAGCTGCATCTGGGAACCCTTAAACTGACCTTCAGTACTAGACTCCACTCTGAGTGATTGGCTAGAAACTCTAGCATAAGCCCAATTATTATACTGTTTGCATCACTCAGCTCAGCGAGAGAAGACAAGTTCGAGCAAAAGAAAGTAACTGCAGACTGCTGAGTGGGGCGACCGCATTCATCTTCTGTGGCCACTTTGTCCGATCACTCCACAAGCTGAGCAGATACAGTAGTCATGGCTCTGTAAGATCATACAGGCTAGAGTGCTCTTTTCATTTAACAGTGCATGGATAGTTGGGCATCGATGGAGGAGGAGTGAATCTATTTGTCTTTTTCTTTAGAGTAGTCACCTTGTCTTGTTTCAAAAATCATCTGTCCCAGTGTCGGGATGATACTATCTTGTATTATCTTCTAATCTGAAAATCCAAATCCGTTTGAAATTAATTTCTGTATTTATTAATGTCTACTTATTTTTGAGAGAGGGAGAGGGAGAGCACGAGAGGGGGAGGGGCAGAGAGAGAAGGGGACAGAGGATTTGAAGCAGACCCTGCTCTGACAGCGGGGCTTGACCTCACGAACCATGAAATCATGACCTGAGCTAAAGTCGGACTTAACCGACTGAGCCACCCAGGTGCCCCTAATTCCTGTATTTTAACCAGAGAGAGTTACTACAATTTATGAGCATTGTAATCTCACAGTACTTTATTAATTTAATTCCTGGCACATAGGCCTATGAAGCCCATATAACAAATGAAGAAAAATTTTTTAAAGTTTCAGAGAACAGCAATGTCTAGTGAACAGTCACACAAGAGTGGAGATAAATTTTGCCAAAGATTATCTGAAGACTTTCTCCTAGCTACTTCCCAGATACCAACCATACCATATCCTTTGTCACGCATGGAAGAGGAACACAAATTGTTATGTGGGGTGAGGAAAGTGTAGAGAAAATGTACTATTCTGAATACATGAATGTGTTGCAAGGCTGTGGGTTTTTAAATTTAATTTATTTATTTAAATTCAAGGTAGTTAACATACATTGTAGTCTTGGCTTCAGGAGTAGAACCCAATGATTCATCACTTACATATGATACCCAATACTCATCCCAACAAGCGTTCTCCTTAATGTCTATCACCCATTTGGCTCACCACCCCACCCCACAACCTCCTCTCCAGCAACACTCAGGTTGTTTTCTGTATCTAAGAGTCTCTTATAGTTTGCCTCCTCTCTGTTTTTATCTTATTTTTCCTTTCCTTCCTATATGTTCATCTTTTGTGTTTCTTAAATTCCATATATGAATGAAATCATACGATATTTGTCTTTCTCTGATGGACTCATTTCGCTTAGCATAATACACTTTGGTTGGATCTATGTTGTTGCAAATGGCAAGATTTCATTCTTTTTTATCACTGAGTAATATTCTATTGTATATATATACCACATCTTTGTATCCATTCACCAGTCAATGGGCATTTGGGCTCTTTCCATACTTTGGCTATTATTGATTGTGCTTCTATAAACATTGGGGTGCATGTAGGGGATATAGCTCAGGAGCAGAACATTTGACTGCAAGGCTTTGACTAGACTTTGAGGGAAATTACTACATGAAGAGGGATTCAAGAGCCAACACAACATCCCCATAATCACCTCCTTTCCTGTTCACAAGATGCCCCTTGGATCCAGGCTCACAGACTAAGTATGGCACTCGTGAATGCATGAGCTTATTGAGGGTGGGGGTTTAGTGGAAGCACAAACAGGGAAATGAGCTCCTTTTCAGGGCTCTGTGTTGGGATGAAATGGAACATGACCAATGATTGCTCATCTCCTTTGAATTATGTCCACAGATATAATGAACCAAGATTACACAATGGAGAATTTGATCTGAATGGGCGTGGCAGGACTGGTCCTTGTGGCTCTCTTGGCCATAGTCATTGGAAATTGGCACAGCCATAAGGTTCCAAACAAGGAAGACTGGCCAGATTTTCCTGAACTGAGCCGGAGTAAACACAAATGTCAGACTGGACCTTTGGACAAAGCCTGGAGAGACACCAGGTAGCCACCTGTCACTGAAAGAGAAATGAGTCAGCACTTGTGGAGCCCTGGGAGAACATAAGGGAGAAAGAGGCACTGACAATTTTGGATCCATTTTCAAACCAATCCAATCGTATTTTTTTATATGTATCTAATACAGTTGTATACCACTTTTCTAGATTTGGTGATAAAATCCTCGGTACAGTCTTGTCTGTGATAAAAATTATTCAAAGTATTCCTAGTTCTCAATCCTGACTTTTTTTCCAGCCTCTACAGAAGGTCTGGCTCAAGACTTTAATCTGTCTTGAATTTATCAGCCAAACCAGGTACCCTTACATCCTCCTAGGTAAGACTTTAACATTCAGAATGCTATTAATTATTAATACCACCAATTAATTATTAATACTGTCCATTCAACATACCATATTTCCCATGACATGAGTGCTTCTAGTTTTCCCTACGATGACATTTGCGTATTAACACATGCTTTCCCTGTTGTTAAAAAGACTTTCCTGTTCTTATGAAACTAACATTTCAAGATGTCTCATGCCTCCAATGCAAAGTTGATAGACTTGTGAAAACAGCCCCAACAAGCATCTCCTCTGGGTTATCTCAGTCCTTTGAGCTGCTTAGTCTATCAAATCATCTCTTTGTAGTATCTATCGTGAGGTATGCAAAACATAAAATACTGGAAATATTTATTGAGATTATGAACAAATAAGTTGATGAAGGACATGTTAGATATTGGGCTAGATAAAATCATGAGGAAGTGCCACAGTTTCAGAGGAAGGCTAATCAGAGACTTTACATCAGAGCCAGGATTTGGACCTGAGAGATGCAATGAGATTTGATTCCACAGAGAGATAGGATCAACCTCACACACTTGGTTGTGTCCACACCAGGGCCTTGGCGTGGAAAAGCATACTGTAAACCTGGGAATAAAAAGACCCTCCCCTCCTAGAAAAAGACTACGTTGTCTGGTAGCCATGATGACAAAAAGCCGCCGGAACCAGTTTTTCACCCATCAGCAATGACCACTCCCCTCAATGAAAAACGGCCTGGTGATTCAACCAATCAGCTCCTTGCTTCTAAATGTCAGCCAATCAGAAACGGATTTACTTCAGTAACTGCACCTGTGAGTGACAGCCAACCCTTCAGAAGGGAAACAAAAATAATATAAAAACAGGGAGGGGGACAAAACATAAGAGACTCTTAAATACAGAGAACAAAGAGTTACTGGAGGGATTGTGGGAGCAGGGATGGGCTAAATAAGTAAGGGGCATTAGGGAATCTACTCCTGAAATCATTGTTTCACTACATGCTAACTAATTTGGATGTAAATTTTAAAAAATAAAAAAATAAAATAAAATAAAGTCCCCCTTCAATAAACATCTTTTACAGATGATGCCAATCCACAAGAGGCCCTGAGAATCCATATTTCCCAAAAACCCTGTAGGCTCTGCTCAGAGATTCAGAGGCATCATGTCTAGCCAGCATAACTCCCTTAACAGAGTAAAAATAAATTCTGCTTTGCCTTTTTTATTCCAGGCACTGAATGGTGAGTGCATTTGCCTTTGATAGTTCATATATTGGGCTGATTTAGGTTAAATGGAAGGTGTGGCTTGGGGAAAAGAGCATGAGGACTTACGTTTCATGACCTTCACCTCTATGTTGGGCTTTATGTTAGTCATTTCATTTACAAAAGCTTACTACAGCCCTGTGAATTTTATTTTAATCAATCCATGTGTCACATGAACAAACAGAGGCTTAGAGATGATATGATTTGAAGGGCGCCTGGCCGGCTCAGCAGTGGAGTGTGCAACACTTGATCTCAGGGTTGTGAGTTTGAGCCCCATATTGGGTGTAGAGATTACTTAAAAATGAAACGTACTGCACACTACTGAACTGTATACTTAGACTTGGTGAAGATGGTGAATTTCATGTTACGTATTTTTTTTGCTACAATAAAAAAGTAGTTAAAATGGTAAAATTTGGTTATGTATATTTTACCACAATTTGCAAAAAGTTGACCCATAAATGACCAGCAATAAAATATTGCAAACTTCGTGAAGAAACAAAGAACCCTCAACATATAAGGGGAGAACTAGCACGCCAAAACACTTGAGATATAGAACTGTCATTATGCATGTGTAAATTATTAAAATAGTAAGTAGAGAGGAAACCCACCAGGAAACTGAGGCTAGACCCATTCTCTAAAGTCCAGATCCCACCCCAACTAGGGCCATGCCATGGAGATGTTAGCCTGATCCTCTCTGGTGCCAGCAGGTTGACTTCAATCCCAGGGAGTTCCCGCCAACTTTGAAAATAATTTCAAAGGAACATGTTATCAGGCAACCAGCCTCTTGAAGAGAATCTAGAAATCTCTGAAGCAAGGGGTAGCAGAACTTTCACAATTCCAAGAGAACTACTTCTCTACCCCTGGTCACTTTGTCCCCAAAGGATGACCACCTCTTTCCTGACGCAGGGACCCATTCATCAGGAGCCTTACCTTCATGCTATGGATGGACTTTAGGCTGACAATGATGAGCAAATTAAGATGTATCGTGGAAGAGAGGTGAGACAAGATGCCCTCTTGGCCTAGAGACATCTTTGTCATCTATAGATGAGCCTGCCTCATTGTCTCCTGTGGGCTAGCAACCACTGCCCTCCCTCTCCCATGCTTTGGTATCTAAATGTTTCCACAAGCCAAGAGTGACTTAAAAACAAAAAACCCATAGCACATAGCCAGGTTTCTCACATGCATAGGCTGTGTCCTCTCTCTAGAAATGTGGTCAATGTAAACATTCCGGTAGGTGGCCCTTGGTCCCCACCCACTGCTTCTTCTGCTCTCATTCTTCCTGTAAGTCTATCGAGGCTAAGTTCCCTAAATGATGCGACACAGGAAGTCAGCTGGAAGAAGCCCCCAACTGTGTCTTTGGCGAATCCTCTATGGGAAGACAAGACAGTGGCAATCCAGTACATGACCTTTTCACAGGGAGAGCTACCGATTGTAGGTCAGAATCTGCCCAAGAATGGATGTGCGAGCTACCATGTCAATCAACAGTGATCATCTCGCTTGATCTTTTCTTTACCCAAGAGAAAGATGTTACAGGCACACGAGGACAGTGCCTTTCCTCCAAACGTTATAAGGATATTTTGGTGGAGACCATCTAGGCAGGGGAGCATGGGTGAACGTTGGCTGGCTAGAGAAGACAGGTCCTGGAATTTGGAGCTGAGGACTGGAGGCCACAGAAAAGAATGGAATAGAAATCCTGTCATTTGCAACCACAGGAATGAACCCAGAGGACGCCATGCTAAGTGAGATAAGTCAGACACACAAGGACAAACACTACTGACACCACTTATATGAGGGCGAAACTGTCCTACATTTTGACTTAGGTGTCGGTTACATGACCGTATACGTTGATCACCACTCATACAGAACTGAACAGGAAAAGAGTGGATTTTGCTATATATAAATAAGAAAGGGAATGGAATATGTTCAACCACAAAATCAAGAAATAAGAACAAAAGATACCAGATTGAGAGAGATCTCCTCATAGAACGTAAGGCACGACATAAATTGGCATAACATTTCATTTTCGAATATCGTTTAGACCTTTGGAGGGAAAAATATGAACACATTTTGAATTTCAAAACATGTGAAAATGTTAAATATTTTAATATTTAATTTCTGCTTTATAACAGACTAAAGGAATATACTCATGTAAAAAACAGGACATTTTCATTTAAAAAACAGCATTTTGTTGAAACATCGTAATGAAACTTTGGAGAAGATAGTGTTATCATTCCATTCTGATGACACCAATGAACTTTCCCAAGCACATGCACAACAAACAGAGGGGAGCCAAGGCTAAGCACATATTTTAAAAAACTTTCTTTTAATGTTGATTTATTTTTGAGAGAGAGACAGATAGACAGACAGAGCATGAGCGGGGGCAGAGCAGAGAGAGAGGGAGACACAGAATCTGAAGCAGGCTCCAGGCTCTGAGCTGTCAGCACAGAGCCCGACGCGGGGCTAGAACCCACGGACTGTGACATCATGACTGAGCCAAAGTTGGACGCTCAACCGACTGAGCCACCCAGGTGCCCCTAAACACATATTTTTTAAATGATTCTAAGGTTTCTTCTCTGTACATCGTCTTCTGCCTTCCCTGGGTGTAATGTCCACATTTCAGATTTTAGAAGTGGGCCCTGAAACGAATGAGTTTCAGGTGGGGCACACAACTGTCAGAGGATCTGGTTAGACCACAGATATGATCAGATGTGTCTTTATACCTCATGGTCAGAGGTAGAGGGAAAACCGTGAACCTTCTCTTGTTTAAAAAAAAAAAAAAAAAAAAAGGTCAGGTGAAAGCCCCATGGCAATTAGTGCTAAGCTTTACCCACCACATCCTGTGGCATCTTCCTGGCCTGCTGGCCTGCTGGCCTCCATCTCCACATTCGCCTGGAAGAATCTAGGCTATGACCTCCACATTCACTGCCCTGCTCTGCCTTGGTGAGTTCTCTCCTGAGAGGGAGACACAATCCTGGGGTCTGGACATGGGTGGGGTGGCATGGCTCACTGTTCCTGTCTTCCAGGGCTGTATCTGAGCCAGACCATCGGCGCCCAGACACGTGAGTCCCTCCGTCAGAGCCCCAGGGTCTCTTTTCTGGGCTCAGGCTAAGTATCCACCTACAAGCAACCGGAGGAGGGGACAGGGGCTCTGGTTTGCTAGGAAGGCTTGAGGCCAGCAACCGGGTGGAAATGTGGGTGGGAAGGGGCTTTATGTAGAACTCCTGCCTCTGATTCCCTTACAGAGATTCTCTCAAAACCCATCATCTGGGCCAAGCCCAATTTCATGATTCCGAAGGGAAGGCCAGCAAAGATCTTATGCCGGGGGTTTCCTGAGGCCACTGAGTACCAGCTGTATTTCGAGGGACACCTCTCTGCCCGGCAGAGCCCAAGACAGCCTGGAATAAGGAACATAGTCTCATTCCCCATCTCAGCCATGACCCTGCTCACTGCAGGGCAATACAGGTGCATTTACCGAAGCGGGGAGCTCTGGTCAAATCCTAGTGACCCTCTGGACCTGGTGGTAACAGGTAAATGTCCCATCTTCTATCTGTGGTCATCCCCCCAGCCTGAATCCCGGGGAGGGTCATCATTTATTAATCTCCTTTAGTGTCATCCAAACCTCACTCCTTGGTTATCTGTGGTCTAGGAGCGGATTTGTCATAGGTCAGGCTCTCCAGGTGAGATGTTCTGAGATGGATGTTTGCATGTATCTGGGGAGTATCCTCGAAAGTGACCCCTGTGATGAAAAGTGAGGGAAACAGGCTGGACAGGAGGCGAAGGTGGACCCTGGGGTGGTTTCACCCGACATCTCAGCCAAACCAATGTGGAACTCCGGACCCGGGATGGTCCTTCCTAGCAGTCTTGAACTGAGGCTAGGGGCTCTGTACCCACCAGGGTCAACCAGGGAGTGGATGAGAACCCCTCCTATGGGGGTTCCATGCAAACATCTGCTTTTGTGGCACTTGATTTCTAGTGGGAGAAGACAGACCATGAGTCAAGTTTAGGGTAAATCTATCAATTATAAGCACATGAGGAGGAAATAACGGTATGGAAAAAGACCAGATAGAACGGAGTTGGGAGGGAAGGCTGTCTCAGTTAAGGAAGCTGAGGGATGCCATTCTCCCACTTAAGCAGGTATCAGAATCACTTGCAGGGTTCGTGATAACACAGACGGCTTTAGTGCACCCATGTGCACCAAAGCCCTATTCACAGTGGCCAAAAGGTAGCAACAACCCCAGTGTCTATTGACCAAGGAACAGATAAACAAAATGTGGTCTATACACACAACGGAATATTGTTTGGCCTTAAAAAGGAAGGAAATTCTGACACCTGCTACAATATGGATGAACCTTGAGGATATTACGCTCGGTGAGATAAGACAGTCACACACGGACAAATACTGTCTGGTTCCACTTCCGTATAGGACCCAGGATGGTCAAATACATAGAGACAGAAAGCAGAATGGTGGCTGTCAGGGGCTGGGGGACGGGGATGGGGAGATGGTATTTAATAACGGGGACAGAGTTTCAGATTTGCAAGATGAAAAGATTTCTGAAGACCGATGGTGAGGATGCCTATACAAAGCAATGTGAATGTGCTTAGTGCCACTGAACTGTACCCTTAAAAATGGTTAAGATGTGGGAGGGGCGCCTAGGTGGCTCAATCGGTTGAGTGTCCGACTTCGACTCAGGTCATGATCTCATGGTTCGTGGGTTCTAAGCCCTGCACGGAGCTCTGTGCTGACAGCTCAGAGC